ACAACTTAGCTTTTTCCTTTACACATTTAGATCTGTATTTTGCAGATGGGAACATGGCATACCTGGTTTTAAAACAGGAATTGAAACAACAAATTATTTTTTAGAAAGTGATTTTTTATATATCTATTTTTCTGCATTTGTTTGCTTTAAAGATAAACTGAAATAGTTTTGCAGGTTAAATTAGTGCTTATTTTGCTATGTAAAGATTCCTTTATGTGGCTTGTGATGAGTAGCATTTTCTTTTCTTTTTATGAAAGCTACATCTGTCACAAAGTCTTACAAATGCACGCTGCATGTTTTAGCTGTAAAGAAAAAGAGCTCTCTGGATTTCCTAACATAATGAAACAAATGTAATTTGGACAAGTTTTAGTCATCATATTTTTAAAATTTATTTTTCTCCGTAGTAAGCTTTGCAGCCCTGAGCTTGGTAGTATTAAAAAAAGAAAGCCCTCCAGGAGCTCTGACAATCGTAACAGGAGTAACTTTGCAAAAATATACCAGAGACAGATTTCTTCAGCAACATTTTAGCTAATCTATCTGGAAGTAGTCCATGAACTTCTGAACAGGGAGCTATACAACATTGCATAAGTTCATGAAATATCTTTTCAGCAAACCCTGTCCTTGAATTATGTGTCTTTGATGTGTTTTGTTTGAAGTAGTAAAAGAGACAATTTATTCAACAGTCTCTCCTTAGTCATGCCACAACTCAGCTTCCTGGGAGAAAAAAAACACCACAAAATTCTACATATTCTGACAATACTGAGGGGCATGACTGAACCTACCATTTTAGTGTATGATTTTTATATATGCATATTTCAAAGTGTATACAAGACTACCAGCACTAACCAAGTCAACTTCTGTGCTTTCAGATTCTAAATTTAACAAAGGCTTGGGATTTCTGTTCAGGGACTTTGAAGAGCAACTATGCAGACTTTGCCTACGTGAACATCTTATGAAGTAGATTCTGCAGAATAGGCAGAAAAGAGCTGCTGATTCTCTAACACCTTTTCCTGTAGAGAATCAGTTCTGCTTATGTTAGGAACACCTTTAATTTGCAGATAAGAATCTTCAAGGATCCTTTTGCTGGGCACTGTCTAGAAAATATACTCTCTTCTTGTCATCTCATAAGTGGTGTTGCCAGGTTTTTTTAGATACCTGATGCAATTATGTTTTGTGATGAAAAGAAGAATGTGTGTATTTTCTGCTTACTATATGAATTAGTAGCATCTGAGAGACCCTTCAGTTTGTTAAGGGTAATTCTACAATGTAGTTTGTTGTTTTTTTAATAACATTTTACAGGTGGATAAAGGATTATAAATCTTTATATGTTTTTGTTTTCCAAAAGGGTTTGAGCATCTTAGGTTGAAAAAAGTAAGTTCATATCTTAAATTTTCTGAATATTTTGTAAGGACATATTCTTAAATTATTTATGATTTATAAGATATTGGTCCGCCTACATATTTTTTACCATTTCATTGTAAATCTCCTTGGAGCAATGAACAAGAATTAGATTGATAAAGTTTGATATTTATTTTGGACTTGAAGTTCTTAGAAGTGGAAAAAGAGCAAAGTATATTTTTAGCAAGTAACATCCTGTAATCCTATTGATTCCAAGATAACTTACTTAAAAGAAATGTGAATTAGTAATATCAGTCGTGGATTTTATATTATTTAATCCATGTAGACTTCTTCTCATACAGAAGAACTTAAAAATTTTTACTAACATTCAGAATATTTTACCCAGATTGGTGGTTACACATTTTCAGGTTAGAAATCTGTTCTTTCATAAGCATATATGTGTACACATCAGCTTTAATTCTGTTTAGTTTGTAAGTTTAATTTTTTGCAAACAAGCTGTTGCAGTAAAAACCTTTCCTTTTCGGTGTGTATTCCCACTATTCTTTTCAGGAGATGAGATGACAGCCTTCAGATTGTTTCAAAGCCAAAGGAGCTCTATCAGTCCTGCTTGAATTCCTAGTCCCTTGACTTTTATAAAGGTGGCTTTCTTCTCAGATTTAGAAAGGGAATTAATTCTCTATTCTGTCTTTGTGGGGTTGCAATTCACACTTAGAAGGCTGTGCAAGCAGTTTCGCTGATAATATTGATAGTCCTCTTTCTTTACAGTAGGCTTCCTTAGCATCTCAAGAAGGCTTTTCTTAAATTGTCTTGGTTGTATATAAAAAAGAGATTTACTTTCATCTAGGATTTCAAAGTGGAACTCAACTGTGGAACCATGACCAGCACTTTCACGGCACATCTATGCAATGAAATATTAATATTACATATTATTACATTGAACTGTGAGAATACATATTAATATGTTTACATTTTCTGAAATTTCAAAATTTTCTGGAACTATTGTTCACTGCCAAAAATATAAGAACTATAGGAATCGAATAACGAAGGAAACTCACTGATTTTTGTAGCTGTTTTGACAATGTATGGTATGTGACATTTTATCCTATGTTCACATGGGTGGTGATCTTAATAAATAGCCTTTTGTGAAGGACGGGGAGCTCAAGTTAATACTTTGCAGGTACAGTAATTGAAAATATATACCATTAACAACTTTAAAGAAGAGAAGGACTAAGAAAACCTAACAACCCAAAATGCTGTAACTGGAGGAGCCAAAGAACAGAGATGTACAAACAAAGGAGCAACTGTATTGGACCAGACCAAAGTTTCATCTAGTTGGATCTAGAGGATGTTATCTCTAACAGGGACTAACAGCTCAGGGGGGAATAAACCCAACAGTGAGCATGTAGAGCTACTTTCACAGAACCACAGAATCTTAGGAGTTGGAAGGGACCTCTGGAGATCATCTAGTCCAACCAGCCTGACAGAGCAGGATCACCTAGAGTACATCACTCAGGAATGTGTCTAGGTGGGTTTTGAATGTGTCCAGAGAAGGAGACTCCACAACCTCTCTGGGCAGCCTGTTCCAGTGCTCCGTCACACTCACAGTAAAGAAATTTTTGCTGATGTTTACGTGGAACCTCCTATGTGCCAGTTTGCACCCACTGCCCCTTGTCCTGTCACTGGTCATCACTGAGAAAAGCCTAACTCCATCTTCCTGGCACTCACCCCTTACATATTTGTAAACATTGATGAGGTCACCCCTCAGTCTCCTTTTCTCCAAGCTAAAGAGACCCAGCTCCCTCAGCCTTTCCTCATAAGGGAGATGTTCCACTCCCTTCATCATCTTTGTGGCTCTGCCCTGGACTCTTTCAAGCAGTTCCCTGTCCTTCTGGAACTGAGGGGCCCAGAACTGGACACAATATTCCAGATGTGGCCTCACCAAGGCAGAATAGAGGGGGAGGAGAACGTCCCTTGACCTACTAACTACACCCTTTCTAATGCACTCCAGGATGCCATTGGCCTTCTTGGCTACAAGGGCACATTTCCTACTTTCTCTAGATATTGTATTAGCCTCTAGTCATTTGTAGTTTAGGTACTTTCCAATTTCTCTGTTTTTAGTAGTTCTGAGAAATTTTTATTTTCATTAGTTAGTCTAGTCTCTACTGAAGCCTGTGTGAACTTTTAGTATCCAAAACATCGGATTGCAAAGAGGTTCACAGCTTAACTACATTTTTAATTAACAATAATTTCTCCTTGCTTGTTTTGAACCTGCCATCTCTGAGCTTCTTTTGATACCCTATACCTTCTGACAACTCATTACTGTCTTCAGTATTCAGAAACTGAGACCCTGATCATTAGAAATTCCTAACATAGATGAATGAGGTGTTTTATAATAATAATTGTTTTGATTTTTAACATCTGGAATCAAAAATCTCTATATAATCTGTCTTTGGACGTTTTGGTCTTTGGAAGCAAGTGTTCGCTGTAGTTCCTTTCAGCATGTTTCTCTTTTTGTCTCTGACATCCAACTGTAATGGATTAAAATAAGCAATTTGGCAACTAGTCAAACTTTTCAATAAACTTTAGTAAGCTGGGGAACCTTTGCATCTCTGGTGGCGCCAGACCAGCAGCTGTCTATATACATGGTTGTTTTCCTCTTAAGCAAGGATTGTTTCCCTCTTTTTTATTTTTGTTTAAATCTTAGCTTATTTATCACTTTTTAAATAAATAAAATGCAGAAGAATAATATTAGCATTTCTTTAGCAAAATTAGTAGATCCTTAAGCATCGTAAATAAAAACCAAAGTAAATTTTGCTTCTGATAAATTGCATGAGGAAAATAATTATTTCTTGATTACTTTATTTGTTTTCAGATACTCTCTTAATATATTTTGTCAGGCAATGCTGGAATTGTAGGACAATTCAGAGAAGGATAAATCCAGGAAACATCTTATAATTCACAGCTGATGAAAGAAAAGAAAAAAGCTTGTTAGTGTAATTTGATTTCTTTATCATATATTCTGTCAGCTGTAGACTCTCATGAGTCTGGTTGGTTGGACATCTGAATATTACAGTCAGTAACTGATTTCACCACTATTTAATTTGTGGCTCTAATAGTTTTTTATAGTTTTCTTCCATCTTCATTTGCTTTAACAGACAAGTGAATAGTCAAAATAATTTTTATCTCGTTGTTTATAATCAGTCAGTATGAATCATAAAATCTTGGAGCACTTAAAATATTTTTGAACTTCAGAGCAGTTCATGATAATTAACACAAAATGGAATTGGAAATGTGGAAATAGCTTTTTAGTTTCTAACTGATATAATATTTTCTGATAGCAATTAGTGAAGATATATGTGCAATATTTCTAGATTCTTTCGCTGTGATGTGTTAATGGTCACTATTCCTGACATCTACAGTCTTTCAAGAGCCTAAATATCATCCTTGCAAAAAGTTACTAGCCAAAGAAAAAAAAATATTGGATCTAGAATATCTTGCAGTGTATTCTTGAATCACTGAAGACAGCTGCTATATATTTAAGAATTAGAGTTAATTATATTTTGTTTCTATATAAAATTGATAATGGAAAATATGTTATGCCTTATATATTAATTATCTCTCTGATTTTTTTTATTCTGTAGTGTTTTGGCAGGATATAATGGTACTATCTTTGCATACGGTCAGACAGGTAGTGGCAAGACTTTTACCATCACAGGAGGAGCAGAACGTTACAGTGATCGAGGCATCATTCCCAGGACTCTATCTTATATTTTTGATCAGTTGCAGAAGGTATGGGACATCTTTTTGTGTTTGTTTTTAGTGTCTGGTTTATAAATACTTAACTATATTGCAAAAGGTTGTCATTATAATAATGTTAGAAGAAGCCCTAATATTAATGTTAAAAAAATATTTAACTGGACATGATACGTTATGCAAGATGCTGCCAGTAGTTACAGTGACCTGGTTTATTGCAGTAGATTGAAAATAATGGAAATCATTGGAGGGTTTTATTGTAGTTTTGCACACCATCCTATATTTAGTTGATGCAACGTATAAGCAGATCATGTAATTGGTTTTTCTTGTCTTAACACTTATATTACCTACACTGTTTTTTTATCGCATGTGTTGCATCTTATACCTCTGTTGTCTGATTCCTGTATAAACCAACATTTTATGAAAGATGGAATGTTACTTTCAGTCTACATAAGTTACTTTATTTCTTTGTGCTTCAGTGGTGCTTAGGAAAAAAAAACAACACAACAAAACAAATGGCAAAATAGTCAAATTAATGTGATGCATTATAAAATATTCAGCTATTTATTTTACCTGATGCCTTTATTTTACCTAATGTTACTCATTAGCTAGGGTATATTATAGAATGATTATGCCAAATACATCTAATTATGATGAAAAGCAATTTTTAAAGTCAGTAATACAAATCCTTGAAAGTATTTGAAAGACAAGAGGTATCCATATTCATTTTCCTTCTCTACTGTTTTCCTTTTAACTCCAGTTATGCACTTGTATGGAATTTTTTTATGTATATATGGTATTAGTAAAAGTCTGATTTACTGAATACACTTGGATAGAAACATTGTTAGGTAAATTTCTTAACATAATTATATGTGTATAACATATGAACGGGTAAAGATGTAAATAGTGAAATGACACAGATGATGATGATGATTATTATTATTGTTGTTGTTACTGCTTTTATTAATGCATCATTTTAAAAATGAAGAAAAAAGAAAAAAGAAAACACCCTTTGATCTGTTTTTATAACAGTATCAGGACCTAAGCACTGGTTAACAGTGACTAGAAAAACACTTTCAAACCAAGTAAACTGTTCTCTGAAAACCAGTTTTGCATGTGCTTTACCTGAAACCTCTCATGGAGAAATAGTCACTACACCCATATAAGTACTGATTTGGCTTAACCACAAAGTTGGGCAGTAGTAAATACTTTAAATAGTTATATGATTTCTCGGTCACTTTCCTTTTTCCTCATCTTTTAGTATTTCTGAATCTTACAGTTCTGTCCCAGCTATTTCTTAATACTGTTCTGTTCATACTTTAAATACTGTATGGAAGATTTTCCTGCCAAAGACAGCAACTGTTCTTTGCATATTGAATTTTATATTGCTTGTAGGGCAAAACATCACTTCGGTGTGGTAACTGATCTGAATCAAAGATCTCTAAAATTAGTTTTTAGGTGAATCCAGTGATGTAAAAATGAATTATGTATTTCAACAACTCTAGCTGAGCCTTTCAGAGGTAGGGAGGGAAACAATACAAACAGTACAAAGTCTCAAAATAGCTTTGTGATTACAAAAAGAAAAAACCTTGCAGAATTTATAAGCGTAATTGTTGCACTTACAAGTTAATCAAGTTGGTTGACTGATCTCTGATAGTATCGCAGTAAATAGTGTTGCATTAAAGTCCTTTAATATTACATTGAATCAAAAAGCCTGCCAGGTAGCCTCTTGTGCAAAAAAAACCCCTGCAAAAACACCAAACAAACAAACAAACAAACAAACAGAAATATCATGCTGGCAGGAAGAGAATTGGCAGAATTTGGGAGAAAGCTGACTGTGTTTTAATTTTATGTGTCTTGTGTTTCTGTGCCCCCCGAAAAGATACTCAGAACTCAATTTGGTAGCTTTTTTTTTTTATTTTATGTACAGAAAACTTGGCATCAGTTCAGTTTTACAGAAGGTAATAGTGACATTTAAAATACTACACTGTACTGAGACAGTACACCATACTGTCTTAACATCTAAGACCAATAATAGAAACAGAATAAATGCATATTACTAAAATCCCAAAACTAATTTAGCTTGCCTGAAATATTGCTTATTATATCCTTTCATTCATTTTTCTAAGAAGTTAATGATAATTGTCAACTGAAATGCTTCAGGAAATCAAATAAGATGTCAGCAACAAACTTTCTCATTGAATAGAGAAGTTACTTTTAAGTTAGTTCTTCCAGATCTTAAGTCTTCTGATTCATCTGCAGCATACGTATGGGAAAGAGAGCTTTAGTAGCATATCCAATTTTTTTCACATACAAGGAGACTATGAGAAACAACACTAACCATCTGATGATATTATGACTGATGTCCCAGGTATAAGAACTTTCTTCCAAAGGAGGATGTGGGAGGGTGTGTATGTATGTTAGGTTATAACCAAAACATTATAGATTTTTTTCAATTTTATATCTGTATGCAGTGAAATGAGTGAGTAAGTGAAAGAATGTGCCACGAGTAAGCACAATGATGACTGTTTATTTCGTTTACAAGAAATTTCATTTTATTTTACTGTTTGTACTGTGTTTTTCTCATCATTTACTCCACCAAACCTATAACCCAATTAAGATTAATCGTCACATTTTAACAAAGCTCTTTAATTAAACAAATGTAAATGTTATTTGATGTTAACATCAGTGTTAAATTGTATTTTTATACTCAGTCATTCAGCTAATACAGGGTACCAATTTTTATTCGTAAGGATTTATGTCTCAGTCACATGAACATGCTATGGCCAGAGTAAGGGTTAACAAATATTAAGTAATTATCTTGGATCTTTCAAAGTATGGCTTTTGGCTGGTAAATGTACACAGTGTATTGCAGGTGCACAAAAGCTTGCTCTTGTGGGAATGGAAATTTAAAAAATGTCACGTTTTCGTGTTGCTTTAGACCTTCTGCTGCACTCACACAACCTCATGGAGGACACTTGTAGTGGAAGGTTAACAGATTGATCTTGCAATTGCCAGCAGTGTGCAGAGTTAACACTTCAGCATTGTTTTCTGTTATTACTATGTAATAAAACCAAAATAGAATTAAAAATTAGTGTATTTGCTGCCTTCTCAACAGGTAATTTCTGTGAAGATAAAAACATTTGTGTTTCTGTTTTTAGACTGGGTTTTGGATCAAAAGCTCTACTTAATTATGCTGCTTTTGGTGTTTCATCTTTCCACTTGCCTTTCTTTTCACACCTTTCCTTCGTTTAATTTATTTTTTTCTACAGCTGTGCTTTGGAAAGTGCTGAGGTAGTGGAGAAGAGTCATTTGACTCTTAACTCTAAGTAGGCGAAAGGAAATTCAGGGACACAAAATATAAGACACTTTTACTTGCAGTGAGACAGTGCAATTTCAATTTTTATATTGAGGTTTGTGTTGTTTGGATTTGGCTTTGGGGCAGAAGAAAATTATGTCTGAAAAAAAACAGTTGTGTTAAGTTACAGTTTGGCAATGTGTTATACAGAAAAAATAAGGATTACGAAGGACAGCCAACATCATATACAGTGCTTAAATGTTATGATAAAGAGAGTGGAAAGCAGTCTGTCACTGATGCTTCTAAATGAAGTGATTTTTTATTATTTGTGGGTTTGTTCCTTGGGGCTTTTTTAAGCATCATCTTTATATCCATAATGTGAGCGTTTACCTCTTCATCATGACATCCTTTTTTTTTGTCATAGAAGTGAAAAATGTCATATTGCATGATTCTGCAAGCAGGCTGCCATATTCTAAGTGTATGCAGACTTTTCTAGATACAGGGAACCAATAAAAAACCGCAGACTAAACTCACAAGCATGGTGGAGTTTTGGAGGGATTTTTGGTTTGGGGATTTGTGTGTGTGTGTGTGTTTTGCTGGTGGTTTTTTGTTTGCTTGTTTGTTTTCCTTTTTCTTCTTGATCTTTTATGCATGTGGTAACAGATGACATAAAAGTATCATGAGTTGAAAATGTAAGCCATACCCAAGAAAGAAGAAGACACAGAGTAAAGGAGCTATATGAAACATGTAGTGATAAATGTCTTTTCTGGTCTGGCTCTGGCTTCTCTTTATAGCTCTTATTTTTTCCTTTTTTTTTTTTTTTTCCCTTTTATTTTCTTATCTTATCCAGGATAGCAGTAAAGTGTATACAACTCATGTTTCCTACTTAGAAATCTACAATGAATGTGGTTATGATTTGCTGGTCCAAAGAGACAAGGCCTCCAGTCTGGAAGATTTACCGTGAGTAACAAAGCTTCTGAGAATCAACAACAACAACAATAGTTTACAGATGCCCTGTTGGATTGTTGGGGAATTTTTGAAACTGCACTACTGATCTTAGTGTTAACTCAAAATACTTCTCAATTTTATCAATACTGTCTAGATATGTATAGAGGCTACAGAAACCAGATCGGAGTAACTGGAGTTTAATCCAGTTTGTGGCCAGTCACAAGCATTGTTCCCAAGGCCTCAGTATTGGAGCTAGTTCTCTTTAATATCTTCATCAATGGCCTGGAGGAGGGGATGAAGTACACCTTCAGTAAGTTTATAGATGTGCTAAGTTGGCTGGGAGTGTTGATCTGCCCAGTACTGAGTTGGGTGGGAGTGATCTGTCTGAGAGTAGGAAGGCTCTATAGCAGGGCGTGGACAGGCCGGCTCAACAGGCTGAAGCCAGTTTTATGAGTTCCTACGAGGCCAAGTGTCACATCTTGCACTTGGGTTACAGCAGCCCCATTCAACACTACTGGCTTGGAGAAAAGTGGCTGGAAAGCTACCTGGCAGAAAAAGACCTGGTGGCATTTGTCAACAGCCAGCTGAACATGAACCAGCAATGTGCCCAGGTGGCCAAGAAGGCCAACGTCTTGGTTTCTATCAGGAACAGCATGACCAGGAGGACTAGGGAAGTGATTGTCCTCCTGTACTTGGCACTGGTGAGGCCATACCTCAAGTACTGTGTTCAGTTTTGGGCCCCCAAAGTGGTGGACTCACCATTCCTGAACGTATTTAAAGATGTATAGATGTGGTGCTTAGGGACATGGTTTAGTGGTGGACTTGGCAGTGCTAGGTTAACAGTTGGAGGTTGAAAGTCTTTTCCAACCAAATAAATTCTATGATTCCAACTGAAGGTCAAAGATTTAAAAAGGTATATTGGTATTATGCAGAATAGATCTGCTGTGGCCACAGGGAACAAAAGAGAAGGCATTCTTGTTTTTTCTCATGGCAACCTGTCTCTTTATATGATATGCACGAATGTGTGTGTGACATATACATATTTAACAGGAAGTATTTCCTTGGAACAGTAGAACTCCCTGCTTCTACTTGGACCTCTTCCTGAAATTATAATTATTTTTTGCAGAGTAATCAATTATGAAATAAGGTAAATAACAGATAAAAAAGGCCACAGGGCACTCCAAAGGACACAGAATGGATGATTGTTACTATAGTTTTCATTGCTGAGTTGCTGGCACCTGCTAACACTTGGAGAAGGGTAGTAAATAAAGGTTTGCATGTCATGAACATATAAGCCTGGTCAAGTTTTAAACATCTTATGATTTATGGGAAATGAAACCCCTAGTTTATAAGGTCCTTCTGAAAACATAGTTTATAGTCTGTGTTATTATTAAAATAACTTAGCAAAGAGTGAATGTGTGTAAATAAGTAAGTTGTTGAATGCTTGGATTTGCAAATGCCCTGAAATAATACTGGGAACCATAAACTTTCTCACTTAATATGATGGTGACTGAAACATGTAAATAGCAAGTAAATCACTGCTGATAAAGAGCAGGAAATGTACTGAGAACTGCCAATAGAGAATGAGCACAGAAAATCAATAGAAGTGTATATCCAAATAGCTAATTATATTATTAACATATGAAACCTATTCTATTAAAAATAAAAAATAAAAATCTTCCAGGTTATGGTAAAAGCTTTAGTTTTCTACATAATATGTGGTATCTAGGATGCTTCTCTACAGAAAACTTTCTAGGCTTGTCTTTATAAAACAAGCTACTCCTGAGGTAACAAAAGCAACAGAGTAAGACTGGGCTGTAAGCTGGTCTTGTTGCTTCACTTTCTGTATCTGTAAAACTGAACTAAATTTTATCACTTGTGGCTCATTGATGCTATAAAGACTGTATGTATTTATTGATGTCTTTCATTATAAAGTTTAGGAATTTAATTTATTTTATTATCTGCTTCCTGTACTATGCAAATAGAAATGTTGAATGAGAGACTGATTTGGCTAATGATTTCATTTTTGTGCCCATTTTTACAGGTGCAGGTTTTTTGCAGTTGTGTGTAAAAAATAGTATGATATTTACAGTTTTATTCACGTTATTAAAGTTAATGCTCTGAAACTATTACAAGTTATTCAATTATTAATGTAATTAATTAATATATAATTAACATATTAATATAATATATTAATATAATTAATATATAAACAATAATTGATATAATATATTATTTGAACTCATTCCATTTATGCATTTAAATAAATTTAATGTATTCAATTGATCTAAATTGAATTTGATTGCAGCTTTATTTGAAACAGTTACTTGAGGGTCATATGCACTGGAAAATATGTCGCTTTTTAAGACTAGATTCTAAATGTTTACTAATAATTGAGAATTTTATAATCTTGAAATTTGTTTGTGTATGATAATTCAATTAAGCTAAAGAATAGCTCCTTATTAGGTATAAGTCTATTTTTAAGCAGCAAAAGTTATCAGATAATTTGATTGTGAATTAGGGATGAAACACATTTTGGTAATCCTAATTACCTGTGAACCTCTGGAGTGTGTAAAAATACTTAATTAATAAAGTATTTTTTGCTTAATTTTGATGATAATAATTTACAGATTCAAAAGTTAAAAATATATATAGTGACATTGAGCTAAAAAGGGAGTACAAATTGCAGGACAGCGTAGTTGCACAATTAACCATGCTTTAGTTACTTGGTTTATTTTTAAAAATGACAAAGTAGTAACTACACATAAAGTAAATAGCAGTCACATATTTTAAAATGTATCAACTGTTTATTACCTAATATACATTTCATGTTTCTAAGAATTTTATGTGCTTAAGACTTTTTAAGACTGCTGATACTCTCCCAAGTAAGTAAGGTGGACAAGGAAAGTGTTAAAGAAAGGTCTCATTTTCAAAGAGTAAACAAAAGATTAATTAGCCTCATAAAGTATGCAGATTGATTTGGAACAATATTGTTATTCAAACTTCTGCAAAAGAGAGGGGATGCAATTCAAAACAAAGAGATATACTTCTGCCTGGCAAACTCTGTGTTAATGACTTTACGTTGTCAGTTCTCAGTGGGAAGAATAAGTACAGAGTGATGGCATTCATGTAGTAGAAGTTATGAAAAGCATACAACAGACACTTCTTGATTGTACTTTAAAAATGAGACATTAACATTGTATTTAATGTTTAAAGCAAAGTGAATAACAATAGTTTTTAGACAGTTGCCCATTGCATCTAATCACTGCATGATTAGATATGGAAGCCCAGATCCTGAAGTTTGTGTTTTGTGTGTAGCCATCCTTTGCATATCATAGAATCATAGAATCATAGGGGTTGGAAGGGACCTCTGAAGATCATTGAGTCCAACCGCCCTGCTGCAGCAGGAACACCTAGGGCAGATCACAGAGGAACGCATCCAGATAGTCTTGAAAGTCTCCTGAGAAGGAGACTCCACAGCCTCTCTGGACAGCCTGTTCCAGTGCTCCATCACCATCACAGTAAAGAAGGTTTTCCTCATATTGAGGTGGAATTTCCTGTGTTGTAGCTTGGTGCCATTTCACCTCGTCCTGTCACAGGGCACAACTGAAAAGACACTGACCCATTCTTGACATCCACCCTTCAGATATTTATAGACATTAATAAGGTCCCCTCTTTGTCTAGTCTTCTCTAGACTAAACAGCCCCAGGTCTCTTAGCCATTCCTCATGAGACAGGTGTTCCAGTCCCTTACTCATCCTCGTAGCTCTCCGTTGGACTCTTCCCAGCATATCCCTATCCCTCTTGAACTGGGCAGCCCAGAACTGGACATGATACTCCAGGTGTGGTCTCACCAGGGCAGAGTAGAGGTGGAGGAGAACCTTATATATATATAT